GGATCGGTTGCCACGTTTTGGCATAATTATGGGATCGATTGCCACGTTCTGGCATAATCATTGGCTCGGATACCACGTTCCAGTATGCTAACTGTTTGGGTTTGGGTTCCATGAGAGAACCAACAATTTGATATAATTATGTATCTTGAGAAATGTGAGGTTTTTTCGTTGTTCGTAAATATTGATAATACTGTATATGTTCAATACATACATGTTATTACATTGTTGTATTGACTGATGTATGTTGCACTTAGTGGGATAGCCGCGTGATCCTACCAGTACATTGTGGTTGTATACTGATACTACATTTGCTATTTCTTTGTTGAGTACAAGGCATCTTCAAGCGGCTACTGACAGACCTTGCTTAGAAGATCAGTGATCGCTCAAATTCAAGGGTGAGTCAATTCTTCCGGGCTTCTATGAGTTCTCTTTCATCTAGGTCCACCATTTCGGACTTAGACTTGTTCTAGTTAGTGTTAGTTCATTAGATTGGGGCTGTATCCCTTCTTGTTTAGACTTGTTGAACTTTAGATGTTTTGGTACATTGACTTTCAGGTTCTAGGTTATTTCTTCCGCATTGTTTAGTTGTTAGATCTTTTGGAAGTTTATGGGAACTTCAGTCTTTATCTATTTAACTTGCTTCCGTAACTTAAATGTTTTAGTTTTAAGTTTAGTTGCTTGGTTTGGGTTGTAGTAGTGGTTCTCCCACCGGAGGGTTTAGTGTGGGTGCCAATAACGACGGTCTGGGTCGTGACAAAGTTGGTATCAGAGCCTAGGTTCATTGATATTGATGTACCTAAACAAATCTAATAGAGTCTTACGGAACGGTACGGGGACGCCTTTACTTTTCTTCGAGAGGCTATATGACTTAGAAAATCTCTCTGTTTTCTCTTGTCTCCTTTCGTGCTATGACTTGATTCCAATTGGTATCTGGCGATTCAAATTGGTATATAACCTCCTTCACTATTTTGTCTGCAGATGGTTAACACTAGATTTAACGGCGTCAGGCACGTAGCTCCCGTCAATGCTCCAATTGAGGAATCTGCAGCTAGAGGTCGCAATCAAGGCAAGGGTAGAGGAAGAGCTAGGAGTAGAGGCCATGGAAGAGTAGCGCCTGCTAGAGATGGGGTACCGGTCGAAAATATTCCCCAAAATGAGGCCCCTTAGGTGCATCATGAAGAGATAGAAGAGGATATTAAGGTTGAAAATG